CAAGGGAAACAGATCTAACAGCTCCTAATCACAGGAAGAAAGCTTATCTGCCCATCTGGGAGAACTTCTTTTTAAGAGACAGTGGCTGCCAGTACAACTCCCAGTATTGGCCTTTTATAGAGTGGCATAGAATCGTAGAATCATAGGATGGTTTGGGTTGGAAGGGATCTTAAAGATCATCTAGTTCCAACCCCCCTGCAATGGGCAGGGACACATTCCACTAGAACAGGTTCCTCAAAGCCTCATCCAGTCTGGCATTGAACACTTCCAGGGATGGAGCATCCACAGCTTCTCTGGGCAACCTGTTCCAGTGCCTCACCACCCTCTCCATGAAGAACTTCTTCCTGATACCTAATCTAAACCTCCACACTTTCAATTTAAACCCATTACCCCTTGTCCTGTCACTACAAGCCCTTGTAAAAAGTGCCCCCCACTCTTCCTTGTAGGCCCCTTCAGGCACTCCCCGGAGCCTTCTCTTCTCCAGGCTGAACAAGCCCAATTCTCTCAGCCTTTCATCACAGGAGAGGTGCTCCAGCCCTCTGAGCATCTTCGTGGCCTCCTCTGGATTCGCTCCAGCTGGTATATGTCCCTCTTACACTGAGGGCTCCACAGCTGGACACTGTACTCCATGTGGGGCCCCACAAGAGCAGAGTAGAGGGGGAGAATCACCTCCCTCGACCTGCTGGCCACACTTCTGATACAGCCCAGGATATGGTTGGCTTTCTGGGCTACCAGCACACACTGCAGGCTCATGTTCAACTTTTCATCCCCCAAGTCCTTCTCCTCAGGGCTGCTCTCTATCCGTTCTCCACCCAGCCTGTACTTGTATTTGGGATTGCCCTGACCCAGGTGCAGGACCTTGCACTTGGCCTTGTTGAACTTCATGCAGTTTGCACAGGCCCACCTCTCCAGCCTGTCCAGGTCCCTCTGGATGGCATCCCTTCCCTCCAGTGTGTTGACTGCATGACACAGCTTGGCATCATTGGCAAATTTGCTGAGGGTGCACTCGATCTCATCATCCATGTCACTGACAAAGATGTGCTCCAGTTCACTCAAAGAAACCAGCCTGAGGCTAGGTTACCATCTTAAGTCATTACAGGTTTTGCAGGAGTAGGTAAGTTGAAACATAAAAATAAAAAAAAAAAACAAAACCAAAGCCTACTAGGAAAATAAAATACAAACCTCAATTTTAGCTCATGGTTAGAAGAAGATAGATTTTTAGTTGTTTTCGAGCATCTCAGCTAACATCCTTAGGGAAGGGAAACATCTGGGGAAGTGGGGGCACAATTTTTGTAAGACAACCTTATTCTCTGATAAGTAACATGCAGTTCCAGGTGGAAAAGTAAGTGGGCAGGCAAGCAGGAAAAAAAAGGTGAGTCCTGAAGTTAGATACAAGAAATTAGATTTCTTCTCTATTCCATCTATTTAGGAGAATCTGGTTGCTCATTTGTCAGCAACATTCAGTGGCTCAGAACTGATATACTCAGAATTGATAGCAACCCAATTTTTTGTTAGATATGACTCTTTCTCCCTGTCAAGTTTTAAAAAGGAAGAAGTGAGTAAAGAAACTCCAAAACTTAATAAAGGCAGAGCATTCTGCTGATGTTTGCTTAGCTGTAGAGTAATATCCAGGCAGATCTTGCTTCAGCAAGAAAAGCAAAATGGGGAAATGAAGTCTACTTGTTCATGATTTTGTTGATATCACTCCACTGACTTTGCTGTACATGCTTTTGGTTCACTGGATCTTGAGAATTTTGGCTCCAGGATCACCAAAGGCATTGTGCATTAACTGTGTTACATACAGAAAAAAGTGGCATATACTGCTAAATTGGGTCTTTCTAAACATGTAGTACTGTCTCACGCTACAAAAAGTACCTTAGAGAACTTTCATACTTTCTTTCTCCAACGTCTGTGACTGCATCAAGACAGTGGTGTAATTTATTCGTTCAGGTATTAGTCAAGAAAACTAAAAAGTGATCATGTCATTTCTAGGTGGATTGAGTTCCCACTGTAGGTTCAAGGGCAGTTACCTCCCTTTTTTATTAAACTCCTTTTATGTGTGTAGAGGAGTGTGTAGTTTCCTACCACTCAGGATAGTTCTGACAGATTCCTCAGTATCCTTTTCTATCTGCTGACAGCCAACGAATGCAGCACATAAGGGCCCAAATAAAACCTCCCTGAAAATATTTGTATGTTGAATGATGTTGGAGTGCACTGTGCTAGCTTAGGGGAGCAGAATTAAGTATTTTAACTGGCTGGGTTTTTTTCTCGGCAACTCAGCACATCTGAAATTTATGAAACAGGTACAGAAATCAGAAGGAAGAGGAGAGAAAAGAACAAGAAAACTGGCACCCAGTAGCAGATTCTAGGGGCAAATAAAAAAGTGATTATGGCAGCTGTAGAAGAGAAACTGAGAATAGGCCAGGGAGCTATGACAAATAGGATAGAAAGAGGATGTTTCTGGTCATCTCTGTTTCAAAGGGAGATCAGAGAATGCAGTTCTCTAGCTATTCTTTGTGAACAGAGGATCTTCACTGTAATCTTCCTTTCAGTACTGCTGTGTGCAGAAATTAGAGTATGGACAGGTGCATAAAGAGATAAAAGTAGTTGCCTTCTCCTTGTGTGCAGAGAAGATAACAATACACATGATTCGCTCAGAAGTGTAACACTTAAGCAAACAACCTTATTGTTCTGATTTTATTATCCTGATAGTTTTCTTTTAGTAACTGGTGGTCATGCATTTGAAAGGTGCAGCACCAAGACCGGAAAAGGAGCACAAGTTTGTATCTGGTGCAAGAGATGGTTGAAGATGACTCAAGTAAACAGAACTTCTTTTCAAAACTATTAGGAGACTTCTGGAGAATTATCTGTAGGAAGGTTAAACATCCTCAGCAATTGCTTCCATGTCCTTCAGTCCTAGAAGGACCAAATGTCTATGCAGTTTGCAAGAAATCTGTTCATAATTCATGGTGTGGGGAATAAATGAAAATAAATCTGTGTTATCCCAACCTCCGTATCTCCTGCTGTGTCTCTTTACATGTCTTTTATTCTTGTTTCACTGTGGCTTAAAAAAAAAAAAAATCACTGATTTTGTTAGCATAATAAAAAAGTGGTACTGAAACATATCTGGCTTCAAATGAGTGTGAGCACTAATAATGAAAATAGTAACAGCTAGGTTCCAAGAAGCATGATAGGCCCCAGGAGTAAGAAATTTTAAGAGTTGTATACCAATCTAAACTTTAAAAAATCCTTTTATTATTGATTCATTACCATACAAAATTTATTCAAATTACATCCATTTGAAGTGGTAAGATCACAGCTAGAGAACAGGTCATCCTTTAATAAATCTATTTACAAAACTCACTATAAAAGCTTTTTTTTTTTGTTGTTTTTGCATTTGGGTTTTGGTTTTGGGTTGGTTTGGGTGTTCTTTTTTTTTTTTTTTTACAGTATTTTACAGAGGGTTTTTTTAAAACTAGCATACAATGCAAAGCTAAGTTAGATTAGTATTTTGCCCACACACACTGGGACAAGTGTTTAAATTTGTACAAAAAAAAAAAAGATGGTCTGTGTTAGTCTTCATTTTCTCTTCTCCTGCAAAAGTGCCTCTTTGTCTCACAAATCTTCATGCTCACACAACTTTTACTTTCCTCTTCCACAAGACAAAAACTTTAAATACTACAATTTTATTTACAGATCCACATCTAAAAAAACTCTTAAAAATTACAAACCAGCTAGAAAATATTCTGGCAGTATTTAAAAATTAATTCTATTGTACAAAACTGCTAGATAACTATAGTGTGAGTTGAGAACATATATCAACTTAAATACAATTGCTGAATGATCTATGCACACATCTGTACATATAAACACACATTTAACACTGTTTAACAGTTCTTTGTGTTGCCCTTTATACATTTGTTATATTCCAAAACTCACACAGTCATACAGTTTTCTTATTAGTACTGTGACTTCTTGCCTGTTCATGTGTGAGCTTTCATAGCAGCAACTCATTGGTACCAGAAAACCTGCATACATAATATTCTACTACAGCACAAATAATACTAATTTTCTGAGTATGTCAGATAAGCACAACAGTAATGAAAACAAAGGATTATACGGGCATCATCTAATCAACATTAATTTAGCCATGAACATGGCAACATATTTTACACTCAAAAAAAAATTATTTAAGACTTCTTAGAATTCCTCTCACAATCAAAAAATAAATATTGGTACTATACTATACTGCCAAAGATTTTCAAAAAATAAATGCAATTCAGTTGATGTGGTACTTACAGTTATGTACTTTGGAAAAAAATTAGTTCCATGTTGCTGGCAAGGAGAATTATAAAAAGCTGTAAGCAGAGGAAGCTAACCCACTGAGATAAATATGATATATTCAACAAAGCTTGGCATAAGTGTTTTCCATAGAGGGAAAAACCCACAGTGCATCTCTAGTAGGCACTTAACACAAAGCCCCACTTAGTACCACAAAAGTTCATGTACCAGTTCTAATGCACACTGGGGGCAGTAAAATAGAACTGTGCATCTTTGTTCTAGTTAAAAAAAACAAACAAACAACAAAAACTACTCACACACACACAAGCATTTTTAAAAATCTGTGATTACTACGAGAACTGGCAGAACTTTATACTTTTCAATATTTGCAATATACACTACATTTACAGTGTATTTTTATTAAAAGCTTTTAAGGACATAAGTATTTGACCTCATAATGAGACATATACACAGCTCAAAATGAGCATTATGACAGCAATTTAAACATTTCCACAAGTAGCTAAAGAATCCCACTTCACGCTTTTGCATTACTTCATATTTATGTTCATTGCAGGTACAATCCATGTTGTGACACTCAAAAGACATGCATTCTCTGCAGAAGGCACGACCTGAAATACTATTATAAAATTGTTATTTAGGACTAAACCAGTTCATTGAGCCCTTCTCCGTAAGCCCGCTTGTCACGGTAAGGAGAGACTGGTGGAGTGTGAAGACAAAATATTTATGGGCACCTGCTTGCACTTGCCGACTCACAAGGCGCTGGAGCTTAGGGTCAAGGAGAAGGCCTTCACTTGCTGTTTATAGTATTTTAATTAAATACTCCCTAAAATATCAGCACTGTTCAAGAGCCTAGTTTATTTAATAATGCTATTTTATAGTAAGTAAGGGACAACTGTGAATGATGCCAGGTTTTTTGATTCCATTAAAAACGTGATTTAGATATGGACAGCGTTTAAGAGAATCAACTGTATATAAATTCATCCACCAATGAAGGAAGCTTCTCTAAATCATAAGCATCAAAGAGGTCACTGATGCCTTCTTCATCCCCAAGGCTCAGCAAATAATCTTCTTGAAGCAGAGGAGGCAGCAAATTCACAAATGGTCCTTCAAAGTTTGAGGGAATCTGGTCCTCTGTCTGCTGGAGAAGGTTGGCTGGAGAAGCCAATGGAGAGATTGTTGCTATATTTAACGAGCAGTCACCTTGTCCTGAGTTAGCAGAAGCCACTTCTGTAAGAGCAGGGAGGGAAAAAAAAAAAGATGACACACTTAATCTCATTAGAAATATTAGACACAGATGAAAAAGTATTGCTGCATAAAGGGCCTTTTATAAAGCATTATTTCAACAAAAAATGGCCTCCATGTAATTTCTAGCTTGCTTTTGATATTTTACAAATGGCTTCCCAAAAACACTTTTGTTGCTATCACCACTGACTTTTCTACTAAAAATTATTTTACAAGGTTTAAATAACTACTGTGGGGGAAAAACCCAACAAAACAAATTTAGTGAGACATGCTCATTTTTCAGTGGAATTCATAGTGAAAGTAAAAACTTTCTATGAAACAGATGTCATCAGTGATACTGTGTAGCTTCATATACTGATACACAGATATCTCTGCCTCATGTTGAGACAAACCTTTGCTGCAACTGTCCTAATTTGAAAACACAAAACAAAAAAACCTGTTTTTCTTCAATATTGCATAAACTTAGGTTACATCGTTCCATATGATATGCAAATATGAAGCTTATTTTAAACAGAAGAAAACGTATTTCCCACTATATAAACCAGAAAGGCACAGTGGAAAATGGATACCTTAGCTTTCTACTTCTTAGAAAAAGAAAGCCAAAAAATAAGAGCTGGATATCTGAAGTTCAAAATGAAATCTTGAATGAGATCATGAAGGAAGGCCATTAGTATTACAAATAAATAATCTTACCTTTGGCAATGGGTTTGGAAATATTTCCGTTGTGATCCTGACTATAAGTTTTCATTGGACTGAGGGCATCATTCTCTTCTGGGCACAGATAAACTTCAATAGGTCCTTGAGTACTAGATAAATGTATCAATGCACTCTGCTAACAAAAAAAAAAACCCACCAGTAAGGTGTTATACCAGTGAAGACAACAGAATATTGACAGTATAGACTAAATTCTTACCAGGCTATAAGTGTTTTAAATACATTTTTTACTAACCAAAAGCACCTTAATTTCCCTCCCCTCACTTTTTTTTTTTTTAATGTGAAAGGCATGGTTGATGCATCTTGTAGGCTGGAAGAGAACATAAAGGTTTTACTTGTGTGTGTGATGCACAATCTTGGAAGCCTATCATTTTAATGTGTTGTATCGTAACCAGAGGTATAGATGATTCAACTCCTAACATCTTCTTACAACCATAATAACCTGGAGCATCCTGATGGAATGGAACTATGGAAAGCAAGTCACAGGTTTTATTGTTACTCACAACAATATTATTGGATGTATTTTCTGTAAATGTTTCTGCTTTAAAAGAATGCCAAAACATCCTTCTCACTCACCCAAAACCCTTCAGCACTAATTCACACTGAACTCAAAAAACTCTGTGTAAGTCCACCTGTTTATCAGAAATTTTTCCAAATAAAAAAAAAAAGCCAAACCAACCATGCTATTTTATTCACCCAAACTTCTTTCTGCCTTCCCCTCAAGGCACCAACTCTAATTCTGATGGTGTTTTTGATTATCAGGAACTGCTAATTAGTCTCAAGAAATTATCTTAAACTTTCAGACATTGATGCAATACAGAGACGACATATATAGAAAATCTGCAGTTGCTCTTAGTTGTGATCATACATGGCTCCAGTTAAAAATAAACTTGTTCCAGCTGTATTGCATTAATAGTTTTAAAAAAATCATAAATACACACATTATATACCTCTTTACAGATTTGTTTCAAATACATTTTATTGTGCCCTTTGAAAAAAGTCCCTCATTTGCATTCTGACAGTTATATAGCATAATAATCAGCATTTACAAACAGCTCAACAGGGATACCCTAGGGCAGAGAAAACAGTCAAGAATACTTAGGACAATGCTATAGATAATTAGGAAAAAGGAGATGGGAATAGCAGGAGTTGGAAAAAGTACTGTTGAGTGACTGAGGTATGGAAAGAAAAAAAACCAGACTGAATTGTAACTGCAAATGATAAAGAAATAGGACTTCTACTGCCTGAAGCTGAACATTAAATAAGTTGCATACAGGGAATATGAGAGGTCTCTGCGCTAGTTTTAATGACAGTGTGCATCTCTCTCCCCACCTGATTTCACTGAACTGAAAAATCGTAACGCCTAGGGGAAGCAAGCAATAACTGTGTATCTTTATAGATACTGATCAAAGATATCCCTTCCTCACTGTAGCAAAATGACTTGTTCTTCCAAAACCTCTACCTAGGTTCAAAGGGGAAATTAAGGACAGAGGCAGGGGAAAAAAAAAGAAAAAGGCAAAAAGAATGGAAACCATAATGGACCTAAGCAAGTAAATCGTCTTAGCAAAAGAAGTGACAAAGTATCTGGAGTCTGTTCCTGCCCAGCCAGCAGCAAGTGACCCTGGGCTCAGTGGAACCAGCCCAAGGGTAGGGATGAAGTAGTAACCTAGAGGTATGAACAAAGCACAAAGGTTTCTGGGGTTTAGCCCTATGTGTAATTACTTCTTGAGAGAAGAAATTAGGTACATTTTTGAATGTCTAAAGCATTAGCTCATACAAATTATTACATTTGCCCAACACACTTGGGTCTGTCATAGTAGCTAGGAATTGTAAAGCACCTCACTTGCCACCAAGAGATAAAAATCCCAGGAGCAGATGAACCATGTGGTTCATAAATTGTGAGAAGAATGAAGAGTAGTAAAGCTACTCCCTGAGCATATCCTCAAAGGAAAGCCACCTGAAGCATTTTTCTCTGCAACTGTGACATCAAGCAAGAGAAGGGAGAAGCAGCTAAGTTACTCTAGACATCTACCTGTGATAAGAATCAAAACAAGGATGAAATGAGAGGCAGACATTTCATATACAAAAGCTGGCACTCAGACTGAGTGGCAGTGACTGAGTAGCAAGGGGCAACAGAAGAGGGAGACAGATGAACACAGATAGCTTCAGAAATAAAAGTACTAAGAAGAAAATAGGAAAGGAAATCCCCATCCCCTAGAGACATCACATTAGCAAACAAAAAAATGCCCTAGCAGATTGCACAGTTTTACACAGATATGTAAAATCAGTGTCAACGAAGCAAATAAGATGATGGAAGAAGGAAGGGCAAGAATTCTAGGAGTAAAATAAGTTTCTACAATAACTCATACTTCAGAAAAGAAAATCCCACATGAAAACATATGTCTCAATACATTACGATATCAGTAATATGAGTCATAAAGATGCTTCTTAAGGCACTGAGTTATCCATGAGCCTCATGACTAAAACTACATAAAGCTAGATAAAATAAGAGCTCAATCTCTTAAGAGAAAAATTTTACATGATTATAAACAGGAAATTCCAATTGTCAGGGAAGAGCTCTACTTTATGTATAGTATGACAAAAGAGTATAATCTGTAAATAGTGTGGATTACTCCGAAGGAAAGCTGATTGAAAGAAAATGAACAAATAATGAATGCCCTGTGTAAATTGATTTTTAAAGTCTCCCCTTTCTTTAAAATATATGTATGTATATAAACTTTGTAAGACAGATGAATACAGGACTGTATGCCAATATAATCCAACCTGGGCATCAGTTACCACAGTAAGACTCAGTTTGCTCCATCTATAGAAAAAGTACACAAACTGGCAGGAAAAGCCAGGTTCTTCTTACCTCCACTGGGTCAGGCACTTCAAGTCTTGTTTCTGGAGGAGCTTTCACAACTATAACAGTTTGGTCTTTAAGGCCACTAATTTTTCGAATGTCTTGATACGTCACATAAGCTAATGTAATCACTGTTAAGGAATTTTACAACCTGGGTTACAATATATTCAGACTATCAGAAGAGGCAGAAGTCTTTGAATTATTTTTGCATTTTCTCATGGCTGCGTTGCTTTTAGCCTGATGTTTTCTATTCTCTACACTGGTGGTGATTGCAGTGAAACTGTGCAGCAACTTCCTTCATCTAACAGCTGTGGCCACTACCATGTGACAAAAGGGATTCTCCATACTGAGACTTCTGTCTTTTCCGTACACATAAAAAGTTACCTAAGCTAAAGCTCAACAAGCTGCAGTCACTTACAGACTGAAGGAAAGAACAGTTTTTACACGCTTGCAATCAAAATGTAAAGAACTGGAAATCACAGAAAAGGTGTAAAGGAATTTACAGATGCGTGCTATATACACAGTATATTTTTTAAGTCATCAACAAAATAAGAATTTCATTTTTAATTTGATTTTTGTAAATATTTAGTCGTATGTATATATTTATATTTTATACAATTATATTAAAATCCTGTTTAAACAGCTACCTTAAACTTCACACTGCAGAATGTCAGTTTCTGAGTAAGCATGGAATGAATATGAATATTTTGCTGTTCAACATTAATTTGTCCAAATCAACAAATTTTTTCGGTGTTTTGGTGGATTATTGCACAGTGATGCCTCACTTACTGACCTATGTAACTGAGGTGTCACAGTGCGTTTGATCATGAAAAGAACTGTGAAATGGCCACAGTCACATGCAAGCACTTCCACCTCTTTATTTTTGCCATCAGTAAGGTACCTAGCATAATATTTATGCCACAGAAGTAGCAAGCCTAATTTATAATTTTAATTTTTGAGCGTGTAAATGTGAACAACTTCGGTAAATGTGTACTATTGCCATATAGTAAGACAGACTGCTCAAGCTCAAAATGCCAGTACGTCTCACATTTGACTTGGACCAAATGCAAAGTAACAGGTCAGAAGGCAAAGTGACAGGTAGGTCAGCTTTCACCACTTGTTTAGTACGGTTTGCAAAGGCAGAGTGCAAATTACAGCAAAGGCAGCTGTCATTATACAAAGGAAAAATCCATGTATTTCAAATAAAACAGTCTCCATTTGATGTAGCTAGAAGATCCACATGCTAATGCCAGGCATATCCCAAAACCTTCAAGGTAGTTAGTGATCAGTTGCTTTCTGATTCTATTTATGAGGCAGATTAGGAAGCACGCATCTCCTAATCGTAAGGAAAAACTCTTCTGAAGCCTAAACTTCAACTTCAGAGATGAAGCAAAGGAAGAGGCTTCTCAGCAACAAGAGTACTCAGTAGGTCATCTCATGTCAGACTTCAGAAAGACATTACTGGGATGCAATCAAATTCATTCCCAAGTTTCACACTTGCGCATTCTTTCCTCAATAATCAGTAACACTATCAGTAAACTTAAGAGTCACAAAAGGATTTGGGGAATATGGTCTCCTAAATCCAAGAGCATGAGACTGACACCTCTGGATGTGCCTGAACATTGACCACATAGCACACTGCTAATGATGATCATTCCTCCTCACCCATCCCCAAGGGAGCCAGCAGCCACAAGATAGGGATCTCCACAGCATCACTCAGCACTTGGAAAAGAAAATCTTAATGTTCAGTTTTGTCTTGTTTAAATCTCTTTGTGATCAAGCTCTTAGCTGAATGCAGTGCTGACCCCTACTCCCAATGCCACTTGGTGGTCTTGCTTTCATAAACATTGAGATGCAAGCTTAGTCAAAAGACAGTATTTATACAGTTCACATTACTTTTTTGCTGACACTTCCATAGTTAATTCCTATCCTTCAAAACAGAGAATGAGTCCACTTTATTATTAGATACTTTAAAACTATTGACCATTTGAACTTATGAAAATTTTCACATAGGACATTCAATAAAATGATCTCTTTGGTTGCTAATAGGTGGGAAATTTAGTGAAAGAGAAAATTGGTTAATCACAAGGGGTATTAGCAGCCAAAATACCAAAAGTCATATGAGCCTTATGCAAAGGAACATTGGTATTACAATAAATAATTCACTCTAAAATAGACATTGAGACCTCATAAAACCATTATGATTATATTAGATTCTCTAACCAGAAGAATCTAAAAATTCTTTTGTAAGTTTCGGACTAAACTGACTCCCAACTTTATTTTCTTCTGATTGTAATTTTATACACATCAGATGAATGTAAAAAGATAATATTATGTAATGAGTACACACACAACTGTTACCTTAGCAAAGGCTTTGTCTGCATGCCTTTATGACTTCTGCACACCTGAAGGGCTTTGCCCTAGGGTCACAATAATCAAAAAAGCACAGTGATTTAGATATTGTCACTTTTAATCAGATAAATTCTTGGTTCTACTCTGTGAGAACATAGATGTCAATGAGCTCCTTCATATGCTTTTTTTTTTTTTTTAGACATTCTAGAAGCATTACAAGCGGCTGTAATTTATATAAAACTACATTAAAATCCATTAGCCAACTTCTAGCCATTTCTGATGCTTTGTATCACATTATGTAGAGGAATTCTAGTATTACAAGGCACAGCAAGGAGTCTGACCACCTCTGAGGTTTTGAGACAAAGGATATCTCTGGTTCTCCGAGTCCTCTGTTAACAGCTTGAGGTCCAGGGTGCAGCTTTGGATTAGCTCATCCAGTTTTTTCTCTTCCTGAGTCAGTTCAGTCACCTCCTTCGTAAGGCCTTGATGCTGTGCCAGCATGCCACCATCCTCTGACAGACTGCAGCCCCTACAGATACAAAGAAGGAAGACAGCTTTTCAGCATTTGGAAAACTTGATTCTGTTCTATTGGAAAGGGAAGAAGCAGGGCTTTACACTGCAGATCATCAAGTCCTTAGCCCCTTCTCCCTAAATATACCCATAATGAGTCGAAATAAACTATGCTTTCCAGAAAAGCATCTTTCAATCATGATGACACATCTTAGAACTGTCACCAAGACAGAAAAGTTGAGTATTTCTAAGTGCCTACAAAATCTTGCTTCTATTTCCCCTCTCCTCAAACACCCTGAAAAATACGGAGGAAGGCTACTTGTAGAGATGTGTACCTCAAAACTTACTCCACTAGCAGAAGTAAATGATCTGATCTATTATTCAGACAAAATGCTGGTTTCCAATTTCCCTGAAATATGCTAGTTATACACTGAAAGCCTTTTTTAACAGAAAAAGAAAGCTTTATCCTGATAGAATTTGTTTTGAATAATTGTTTGGAGCAAAGTGTTAGAATAGAGGGTGGGAGAAGAAAAACACTGCCGCTCTGTGACCGTGAGATCAGACAGCAGAAATGGAAAAGGATAAAAAATACTTACATCCACTGAATGTTGTTTTTGGATTTTTTCTTAATGAGATGGATGCCTTCCAGTACATTGGTGATATCGTAAATCCTCCTTTTTTGCACCTTGAGGACCTCTGCTGCTCTATTCAAATCTAAGACCCCATCAGGAGATTGGCTCAACAACTGAATGAACTTCTTTGTAAGAAGGCCGAGAGATGTATCATATCGAGTCTTTTCTGAAGGAGATTTTGGGGCTTGGAAAGGAAGAAAAGAAAACAAACCCAGATAAACTGATTTTCTCCTTTCGGTTCTGAAGGCAGCATCCAGAAATGAAAGCATACGTATTACAGATATTCCTTTCATTTTTACAAATAAATCTCTCAAAAGTCTGCATTAAGACACAACCTACAACTGGGTATTTATTTGTATTTCAAGATGTACTTTTCCAAAAGTCACAAGTACATGAGCAAATACATACTTTTTTAAAAATGCAAATATTTCCATTCGTCTGATGGATACATAAAGCAATATTCTACTTCAGCTTTCACTATGTGAATTCTTAACACTATTTTTAGTAAGTATTAATCCTGGCAGCAATACCTAAAATTCTCCTATGATATTCTTGATCAGGCTGATAGCCAGCTTTCATCAGGGTTTGATTTTCCCCTCTTGTAAGGTAGGTGTTTTGCATGCAATTAAGCAGGACTTAGGTGTACTTCAGTAGGTGAACAAAATGACAGATTCCATCAGCACCATACTCCATGGCTTACAGAAAACTCGAGTGAATTAGAGACTGACCTAAGATACAATTTATAATCATCAGTTCTCCATAACCAAACAATGCTCAAACCAGACAAGAGTATCCACTTCTTTTATATTAGAAGTCAGCAAACAGCTTGGACCTTAGTAGACAACTCAGTGTTTTCACGTACAAATGTAGCAACTATGTACTTAATAGATGAGCTCTTAAGAGTTTAAATACACAGACCAGAATAATTTCTAATTCTAAATGTTCAAATTCTTTGTGTCAAGGGAAATAAGACAGGCATTATTAGAAATGTGCTGTGTAGAAAGTCTCCTTGTTAGCAAAATCTTTACTATGTCTCAAACCTTTCATCTGCTTCAGGTGAGGTCAAACACTATGCAGGATGGATCTTAGGCTGATCTGGTGGTCATTTTCATATTTTCAAAGTTCAGGTCCCACACCAAATTGCAGAACTCAGTCAAAACTGAAATCCTACCTGAAAGCAAACTTTTAGATTACCCTGAAATATTTTGAAGAACATGATGGCTTTTCAGTGAAAACCAAGTAATTCCCTGTTTGCAAAGAGAACCTCTGCTAGGTGCTATTTTTCAGTAGATTCAAGACTTGTCTGCACTGGGAAATGGAGGAGTACCCACATCAGTTAGGTGACCTTGCAAATTTAGAGCTGGGTGGTTTCTGTTTGTTTGCTTGTTTTTCCTTTGGAGTTTAGAAAAGAATAAGAGGATCAGAGTGAGAAGGGCAAGAGGCTACTTAACCTCCACCTAAAATGCATGTGATCCTGGTCATGCAGCGAGAAGTTTTCTGTATGGTCTTACCACCACCACAGCAGCATCTTACGCTCTGAATGGTACTGAACTTCTGTAAGAACACACTTCAATTTAAAACAGACTTTGTTTAGCTTAATGAAGTTTAGTTTAATTAACACAACTGTGGTTTAACTTGCCAGCTTTAAGTTTTTACATTCAGCTAATTTTACTTTTCTCATCTGCTTCAACAGGTACAAGACTTAGACCGCTGAGGATGGCCAAGTATCCTTTCATGCTTCTTGCATTCCCGTCACTAACCACTGCTGCCCCAGTCCTCTCCTTCTGCAAGCCTAATTCTCCTACTGAAATCCCACAAACAAGATGGCAAAGCTACGGCCCCCATCTCCTGTTGCAAGAAACCTACTGCCCAAGGCAATAGAGATGAGCAAAAACTAATACTCGTAGCAACAAAGCAATGGCAGTAATAATCTAGTCACATTGCAGGGAAAGAAGGAAGATCAGAGCCCACAAAAAGCATTTAGCATGCAATGCTGCTGCGGCACAGCTACCGCACTTTGCAAATTCCTGCCTGGGGGAAGAAGCCCTGCTAATCAGCTGCTGTAACTTTAGCAGGGAAGGAGGAGGCTGGCCTGATTAGACTTGCCTAATAACTGTATATTTGATCCCATCATAATATCTTGATTCCTCAGCATCTAGCTCTCCTAAGCATCCCCAGCTTCATGTTCTTGGCTAAAGAGGAGGTCCTGGACAGAGAGGCTGGGGGGGGGG